GAGAAATAGCAGAAAGACTAAATATATTTAGAGTTACAAAGGGCAGGAAATTTTGGAGAGTCATGATCATCAACCCTTTGAAGGGACACGGCACATAGAGAAAGAAAGACGAGATTTTGTGAATGAATAACGGAACGTGGTTTATTAGAGACAACAAAAACATAAAAACTATTAATAGCTACGAAGGACAGGAAATTGTGGAGAGCCATGAACATCTACGTCCTGAAGGAGCACGGCACATAAAAGAAGAAAAATGAAATTGAGCAAATAAATGGCGGAGCATGATTTAGGAGACATAACAAAAAAAAGAAAATTTATTAAGAGATACAAAAGAGAGGAAAATTGTGGAGCGCCATGATCATCGACGTCCTGAAGAGACACGGCACATAGAAGAAGAAAAATGAAATTGAGCAAATAAATGGCGGAACATGATTTAGAAGACATAAAAAAAGAAGAAAATTTATTAAGAGCTACAAAATAAAGGAAATTGTGGAGAGCCATTATCACCAACGTCTTGAAGAGACACGACAGATCGAAGAAGAATAAGAAGAAGAAGAAGAAGAAGAAGAAGAAGAAGAAGAAGAAGAAGAAGAAGAAAAATGAAATTGAGCAAATAAATGGCGGAACATGATTTGGAAGACATATAAAAGAAGAAAATTTATTAAGAGCTTACAAGATAAAGGAAATTGTGGAGAGCCATGATCTCCAACGTCTTGAAGAGACACGACAGATAGAAGAAGAAGAAGAAGAAGAAGAAGAAGAAGAAGAAGAAGAAGAAGAAAAAAATGAAATTGAGCAAATAAATGGCGGAACATGATTTAGAAGACATAAAAAAGAAGAAAATTTATTAAGAGCTACAAAATAAAGGAAATTGTGGAAAGCCATTATCACCAACGTCTTGAAGAGACACGACAGATCGAAGAAGAAGAAGAAGAAGAAGAAGAAGAAGAAGAAGAAAAATGAAATTGAGCAAATAAATAGCGGAACATGATTTAGAAGACATATAAAAGAAGAAAATTTATTAAGAGCTACAAAATAAAGGAAATTGTGGAGAGCCATGATCTCCAACGTCTTGAAGAGACACAACAGATAGAAGAAGAAGAAGAAGAAGAAGAAGAAGAAGAAGAAGAAAAAATGAAATTGAGCAAATAAATGGCGGAACATGATTTAGAATTCATATAAAAGAAGAAAATTTATTAATAGCTACAAGATAAAGGAAATTGTGGAGAGCCATGATCTCCAAACTCTTGAAGAGACACGACAGATAGAAGAAGAAGAAGAAGAAGAAGAAGAAGAAAAATGAAATTGAGCAAATAAATGGCGGAACATGACTTAGAAGACATATAAAAGAATATTTATTATGAGCTACAAAATAAAGGAAATTGTGGAGAGCCATGATCTCCAACGTCTTGAAGAGGCACGACAGATAGAAGAAGAAGAAGAAAATGAATTTGAGCAAATAAATGGCGGAACATGATTTAGAAGACATATAAAAGACGAAAATTTATTAAGAGCTACAAGATAAAGGAAATTGTGGAGAGCCATGATCTCCAACGTCTTGAAGAGACACGACAGATAGAAGAAGAAGAAGAAGAAGTAGAAGAAGAAGAAGAAGAAGAAGAAGAAGAAGAAAAATGAAATTGAGCAAATAAATGGCGGAACATGACTTAGAAGACATATAAAAGAAAATTTATTATGAGCTACAAAATAAAGGAAATTGTGGAGAGCCATGATCTCCAACGTCTTGAAGAGGCACGACAGATAGAAGAAGAAGAAGAAGAAGAAAAAAAAATGAAATTGAGCAAATAAATGGCGGAACATGATTTAGAAGACATATAAAAGAAGAAAATTTATTAATAGCTACAAAATAAAGGAAATTGTGGAGAGCCATGATCTCCAACGTCTTGAAGAGACACGACAGATAGAAGAAGAAGAAGAAGAAGAAGATGTCTACGATATACAAGAAATTGTGGAGAGCCATGATCATCTAATAAATAAAAATAAAATCCATGATCATCTAATAAAAAAAATAAATAGTAAGCTTGAATAATTAAATGACGGGATAACAAAAATACAACATTTCTTAAGAGCTACAAAGGAAAAGAAATTGCGGAGAGCCACAATCGTCTATGTCCTGACGAGGTAAGACACATATTAAAAGAATAAAAGTGAGCTTGAACAAATAAAGAGGGGGACATGATCTAGGAAAGATAACAAAAAAAAAATTCATTCAGAGCTACAAAGGACAGGAAATTGTGGAGAGCCATGATCATCTAGGTTTTCAAGGGACACTGCACAGAGAAGAAAATTGTAGTTAAGTAAATAAATGTCGGGACAAATTTGGGAGAAATAACAAAAAATAATTTTTATTAGGATGGACAGAAAATAGTGGAGAGCCATGATCGACTCAACCCTGAAGGGAACACGGCCCTTAAATAACAACTTTACAGCACCCGATTGTAAAAACACCCCAAACTCTACAATTCCCAAGGATGACAGC